TAACCGGGCGAATAAAAATAGTTGGGATTACAACACATTTAAAAGCTTCTACACCATGAAAGAAAATAATAGCAGATTAAAAAGGTGGACTAGTGGGAGAATCACACATCCCACAGGTGGTTCATTCCTAGGGTAATCAAGGAACTCATCCAATTTAACAAAACAAACAAATGAAAAAAAACAAACCAAATGAAAAATGGGCAGGAGACCCAAATGGACACTTTTTCAAAGTGATAGCTAGGATGTAGAAAAAGAGGAACCTTTCTGTGCCCATGGCATGTAAACTGGTACATTTTGGAAAGCATTTTGGACCTTTCTTTAAAAAACTAAAACTAGAAATACCATGATCCAGCAAACCCACTGTTGGGTATCTATCTAAAGATATGAAATCATCAATTGGAGAAAGAAGAAGTGGCATAAAAATACAATAGAGTACTATTTAGCTATAAGAAAATGAAATGATGCCATCTGTAGCAAACTGGGATGAATTTGAGGAGGTAAAGACAAATACTGGATGATTTCTACATATGTGGGTAATATAAGGAGACAGCGCAGATGAACCGACAAAGCAAAATAAAAATAGACTGGTGGACAGTGATGACTGAATTGAGGTTACCAGAGGTGAAGAGGGTAGGAAGGGGAGGGAGAAGGAGGTGTAGGGGGTTTTGGGGGGTAGTTTGCTTTTACCTTTTTTTCCCTTCAGAGAGTTTAGGAAAAAAAAAAAAAAGGAGGAGGAGGAGGAGGAAGAGGACAAGACGAAGTAAAGAGAAATAGTTTCATCAACAATCAGAAAATCCACCATAATCAAGAAATTAGTTTGGTTAAATATTTCTAAAAGCCAAAAAATAAAATAATAATAAATTTACTGTGCAATTATCAATTAGATTGTAGTCACATTTCATTGGTTTCCTAGTTAAACTCTATGTAAAACATACACACAGATCCTATGTTAGGGCTACTGAAATCCTCATTTCCTCAAGGCTAATCACGTCAAATTATTAAAGCAGGACAAATAAAATTCTGTAATAATTCAAACTTGCCAGTATGAAATCACTTTTCAAGGAATAAAGAACTATTTCTCAAATAATAACATTATTCTTGGAGATTATTTTTTCCTGTAGCAATCAGATTTTAATATTTGAAGTGAGAATAAAACATGAAAAGTATCCAGTAAAATCAAAATCACTATCGTTTTGTTACTCAGCTTTCTTCTAACTTCCCTTTCTGATTATTCTTTAGAAAGAAAAAAACACCTTTTAAAAATCAAAGTGAGGCCCTCCCTGGTGGCGCAACAGGTTAAAGCACAGCACTAAGTAGCTTAAGCCACTTCTGCATGGGTTCGGTTCCCGCCTGCCCGGAGGTGACCACATGATGTGGCAGACCTCTCCTGACCTACCCACTGCTCCCCTCAGCAGTGTACTTCCTCGATCTGCCTGTTCTGCTCCCCGCTCTGTCTCTGGTGAATCCTCTCACCCTCCACATCTCTGGCCTATACCCCAGTTCTGTATAAATAAGCAAATAAATCTTTAAAAAAAAAATTAAGTGAGACAGAATTAAACAGAAATACCAACTGAAGAGTGGGGGAAAATTCAAGTTTATAGGCACACACAAGCAGAAAGGTGATTGTTATAATGATTTTAGAACTACAAATAGAATTTGGTGTTATATTTAGTGCTCTCACTAAATTTATTGCCTTTACAAAAATGGAGGAAGGAAAGAATGAAAGAGCACAGGTGTATGGATTAGTGGACTTCCCTTATGAAAGGGAGTCTAGTATCATTTCCACACACAGATGAGGAAATTAAGGCTAAAAACGATGGAAATTCTTGCCCATGTTGACAAAATTAATCCAGAGCTTACACCAGGTGAGTCATTTTCTGGAACACACATTTTCCGTATTATATCACTTCCTCCCTGCCTGCAGCTTATACCAGAATGAACAGAAGGCACAAAAAAATTGTCACTAACAATTATAAATCCATGGAAATCTTAAGAAAAATCCCAACAGGACTTTATCAAACTTGACAAGTTATTTTTAAATTTGATACCAAAGAGAAAATGTATGAGAATCATTTCTAAGTTTTTTATGAAAAAGACACCTTTATACCACTAGATATAAAAACATACTCTAAAGCGTTAGCAGTAATACTGGTAGTATTGACATAACAACCTGAAACAGATTATAAATGGAAATTTGTTTTACTATAAAAACAATTTCAAGTTCACTGGAAAATGATCAAACCAAATAAATGGTGTTAGGTCAACTTCCTAGAACTATAAAACAAGATGCTACATTTGACTACATTCAACTTATTTAAAAATCCGATATTTTCAAATTAGATGCAAATCAAAATAATTATAATGTATTGGAAGAAAATAAGAAAATTTAACGTTAAAAAATAGGTGAAAAAAACTTCCTAAGCAAGACAAGAGCACACAAAACATGAGACTGCAGACTACACACTTTAAGAGCTGACTATAGACTACACATTTAAGACTTCTGTGAGACAAAAGACAGTCAAAACCAAAACAGTATGAATGGATAAGGAAAAAGTGGTCAGTTCATACTGTGGAATAATATCCAGTCTTTAAGAGGAAGGAAATTCTGATACCCACTACTACAGCCTTGAATTCATTCTGCTAAGTGAAATGAGTGTCTATAAAACAGAAATACTATGAGTCCTTCATTTAATGAGGCTCCTGGAGATAGAGAGATAGAGAGAAGACTAAGGAGGAGTCAGTAAAGGGGG